CGCTGAGGACTTCGTCACTCGGGGTATGCACGAATCGCAGAGAAAAATATCCAATGCGAGCGGGAGTCTTGGGATGCAGCGGAATCGGGCAGAGATGACTCCAGTACGTTCGCCGTGCAGAATGGTATCGACTTCATGAATTGTCCCGCGATTCCCGGAAATAACCCCATGGGACGGCGGTCCCAAGAACTCTTCTCCGAGTCTCGGATGGGGTCGCCCGCTAGAGATCAGCTAGAACTTGGGCAGCTATAACATGTTCCTAGATTTGGGGCTCCTTTGAAATCCCAGCCTGACGGACATCTAATTGTACCATATTATCTGCAGCAGCATTTACACCATCCCCATCAAGATCTCACCATGCCAGCGGAGAACTCTGGAACTTCTTCGGTCGCCTGGGCCATGTTTCCGGGGCTCGGGTCTCCTTCTGGAATTTCGGTCTGCTTAATGATGGCTGGTATCCGCTGGTGTTCCCGTTTCCATTCCGGGCTGCGAAGGAGAAGGTGGAAGTGACGCCTGCGCTCACTTACCAGAACACTCGACGTCCCCAGTTGGAGGCGAGTCTCCTTCTTCTTCCGCGGTTTCGACCAACACAGCTCGAGCTGCCTCCATGAGATACACGAATTCTTCCCCCAGGTCGTCGAGGATGACGAAGCGCAAATCAGTATCCGACATTGCTGAAGTGGTCAGGGTGTCATATTCCTCTGAAGAGGGTTGAGCGTGAAGCTTATGATGACGCAATAAATCTTTTTGAACAAGCCTATCACCTTCCAAGCGCTGCAGATCGAAACCACAATCATATAGGTGTTCTATACGCTTGCTGTACTCATCCAGGGTCGAGCGGAGAACCTGCCGGTCGGGAATGAATCGTGAAGTACGGAGTTGCGATATGAGAGGACATTTTTCTACCGAACGAACTAGTAAAGCGAGAATTGCATTCTCGATCGAAGTTGATGCTGTCTCCTCCAAAATTCCGGAGGGGAGAAAATTTTCCGGCAGTTCAAGAAGCTGACCGAACGGACAAAATCCGCTTTTTCCTTCGTATCGTAACTCGAGTGAACTACCCTCGCACGAGGCCCAATTTTTTTTCGATTCGGCAAACATATGTACATCGGATGCACAGCATCGGGGAAGATCAACTCACATTTTGGAGCTCGTCATTGTATGTCGATCCCTTGACAAAGCTCCGACATCTCTTAGCCTCGATTTCCACAATCGATCGAACCCGATCGATCTTCCTCATAAGATGTCTATGACGGTCGAGGTCGCCGATGGTCTTCCGAACCTTAAACAAAGGGTGCGGGTGTGGAGCAATACGGAGCGGAAACCTAGGAATCGGAAGGAAAGCGGACTCCGACTGGCAGACACCAGCGGGCCGCGGTACGAGAGCTGAAGCGACGAGTTTACCCCTTTTCGGCTGACCGGTGTCCTTCCATCGAATACGGTTCTCTCGGATCGGCAGTCGGTTTTATCTTGCAAGCCCTCAAGATGATCGGTCAGACGGTCGCACTCCGTGAGAAGCTCAGCCCTTTGAGCATAGAGCATTTCCAGTGTAGGCTCCGTGCACTCAGTCTTCAAGGGAATTACGAAAAGCTTAAGACAGCCGTCCGCACGGGAAGAATATCACAGGATTGCACAGAGATGAGCTTACGCGTTGGAGGAGGTCTAATTCGCATTGGAGATTCTCAAGCTTGCTTAGGAGAAAACCTCTCTTTATCTGGAGCTCTCCGATCTCGCGGTAGAGCGATTCGGAAGAAACCTCTCGACTCGTGGCCTCCGGCGGCTGGCATGCTGATGGATCCATCATGAAGTCGCTGCTTTGGGGCTCGATCCCTTCATATTCGTCTGAGGGCTCTTCCGAAAACTGCAATTCATGGGGTCAATGATTGGCTCCCCGTCGAAGGCTAAAAGATCAAGACTCTCGGCGACATTCCCGCTCGGGAGAGGGGCGCTGGGGAAGCGTCTGTTCCAAGCGAGGAATCCTTCCCCGCTTCTAGAGTGACTCGAAGCCGTCTCAGATTCTTCCACGTGATTAGCCATCTGAAGGGAAACAGGAGATAATGGCGTTTCTGGACCTACCATTTTTCCTGGTCTCTCCTTGCACCCCGAGCTGGATTTACACTAATTCTTTTCGGACTGCCTATGTCCTCGATCGATTCCCACTATGAGATGCTCCGAAGCGTCGAGCTCGATGAATGGATTCTGACTTCCCAGTGTGGAATCAGCCCGTCGTGAGGGAGGATTATTCTCGATGTGCGTTCAGGCATTCGACATCGGGTCCTACATACTCTTTATAGAAATAGATCGCTGATGAGTCATAACTGGCTCGCTCTCATTTCATATAAGAATCGCTCAAAACGGAGCCGAGCTCGTCGCTGGCTCACCTCCTAAGGTCTTTAATTCTTACTTAGAAAACCCTATGATTTCGCGTTCCAGCGAGAGCCGGAGGTCGAATCGGTTCAGGCCGGATACATCAGCTTCAAATCGTTCCCGGGAAAGGATCATCCAAGCTCTATATTGAGTGAACCAATCTAGCAATTTCCGCTCGCGGGGACAAACTCCTAAGGAACACTTCGCCCAGCATCGATTGGGGGAATCAAGGGCACAGTCATTGATGCTGTGAGGGAAGTATTCTCAACGGCATCGACCGAACGACCTGAGATGACTCGTTGAGTCGAGCATCTGAACCGGGCTGTATCGGAATTCATGAACTCTGCTCTGACCGGAGATCCAGCCTGCCTTGCTCCCTGATGCCGAAGATTATTGACCTCTGTTCCTGAAACGAATGGAGAGTTTGATGATGAACATAGCTCAGTGACTCAATGATGGAAAAGCCTGTGGCAAGGATCGCCTCAACAGGAGCTCGAAACTGCGTGGATAGTTCCGTGCGATGTTCTCCGTATCGGGACGAGGGGGAGCTCACCTAGGGAAAGCTCGAATATCGCAGTCACGACAGAGTCTTCCGTGAACGGAATACATGAACTGTCTCACTGTACTCTCTGCAACATGCCGAGCTGACTTTATTGATGGGGGATTCTTGAGCCTCATGAAATCCGTGAACAACATGTTCCTACACATATATGATTCCCCGGAGGTCAACTTAGCGGCATCCGGACAGCGCCGGGGATCGATCCACTTGCCAGGCTAAGCCCTGGCATAGCCCTGGCACCCGCCAATGAAAGGACGACAAACGGAGACCTATCTGAAGGGAGTAGCCTGCATGATCGATCGTCGGCGACAAACTTGCGGACCCGATCCGCTGAAACCTAGTCCCGACTCGCATGAGGTAGGACTCATTTCGCTCGAGGCTAATTTCTGGCATTGGGGATGTTATTGATGGTGGAAATCAGTCGCCCGAATTCGCGAATGCAGAATCTGCGCTAGCGCACCAAGCCGCAGGAATTTCACATTCTGTGTGTACGGTGAGCCCTCGTTTTTCGCGGTCAATTGGTTCCGAGGCCTTCCGCGAAAATCGAATTTCCGCGAACTCGAAGTCCCTTTTCTAGGAACGCCTAATTTTTGATGAAATCTCGCCGATTCCTCCCGAGACTTCTATCAAACTCTCACATCATCCGCCAAGAGCCGTTGATCGCAAGGACCGGGAGGATATTATTGTTATCGATACGTGTATGTACATATGTAATAGAACGAGAGCCGCGAATTATTGAGACCGCGGGTATGCTATCGCGAATAATTGTGGGCTCACCATCACCAGAGAGCCGCGAATTATCAAGACCGCGGAAATTGGACCGCGAATAGTCGAGGGCTTACTGTAAATTATTCTAATTTTAGTGCACCCTCATTACGAGCAGGAAAATGGCTCCTCCTCGATTGAATCCACCCCTTACAAAATCAGAATGAGACGAACACCGTGCTCCCCAGGGGAGATTCCCAAGGGTGAATCACACGGCTATAGCATTCTGGAACAGTCCAAACGCTTGACTGGAGAGGAATCCACCGTATCGAAAGATACCCGCAGCTGTCGCTCGCGACCCGTTGGTGTCTCTCGACTTCAGGAGGCTTCAGCGGTAGAGAAGTACAGGGTAGGATTTCAGAAACGGACGAGCCGAGTTCGACGTTTCGAGACCACTAATTTCGTGGCAACTTTGGAGAGCAAAGGAGACAGCCAGCCTGTCGGAAAGAGGGTGAGGCAGCGGGGATACTCGTGAAGTCTGAGGAGGGACATCTTATGACTTATGACGTCGATGTATGCGAATGGATCGAAATCTTTTTTTCACCCTCCGCATCGGACACGCAGTCAACTCCTTTTAACCTCCTCTCTTTTTCTCCGAAGAGACCGCAGAGTTGGATAGAATCGTTCCTAGTTTCCTATGGAATCGGAGAAGTCCTGGCTCCTCTCACGCAACGCATCAATCGGCAATTATTCGGCGCTCCCTCCTCTAAGTCCAGGATGCGAGAAATGCCTTCCACGGATCAGATCTCGTTTTCTCAGGAGCGGAATATCCAAGAACTCTAATGCGCGGACTGTCAAATGCCGCTCATGAGTCGAGAGTCGACTACTCTTCGTGTGGTTTCGTGCTGTTATGAATTTTTTCGTCCAACCTGAAGGTTCCGATCTAATCATATTCAAGACCTTCGAATTTCGCGCCGTTCCGGGGCTCGTGTTTATTCGAATTCCGAGCAGACGAAAAGGTGGCTACATCGAATTCGAACGAAACTTCTCGCGAAACTTTTTGAGAATCCCGCCGTGCTCGCTAGGACTCGCTAGACTTGATATGAAGAGGCCGAACCTCCTCTCGAATTTCTCATTACCGCCAGACAAGCACCGAATGGCAAGCAATTGATTCATCTCTGAATCTCACTAATCACTGTAAGACAAGACGGCGCGGCATCTCCTGGCAAGAACCTGTTTCCTCACGATGATACCAACCTGATGCCCTCGATTACCATGTGATTCATTCACTATTCAGAGAAAAGATTCGGAGTCCCAATAAGGCTCCGATTTCCGGTATCAGTATGCCGAAGCTCTTGAAGGAGGACGTTCCCAATGATTTCTCTTCCAGGCAACATGGTAGAGGGAATAAACTTGAGAGTTGAATACCGACCCACCTTGCGGATGTGCACGCTGAGCTTTATTCCTCATTCAGACACACCGTGGACGATAACAATCGCCAAATCCTGTATGAGGCTGTCGGACACGAGAGATGGAAATAACTCCATTGATCTGAAGCTCGGAGGCAAGAAAATTTCTCAGTAGCGACTCCATGAGAGATCTCGTCGAATCTTCTCAATTTTTTGAGCATCGGCTCAACCTGATCGATTCTAGAGGGATTCGTGATCGATTTGGAGTCCCTCGGGGATTGGAACACCCTAAGGTGGACATCAGAAGATCCCGCGCAGGGGTCTGTGAGCTCGCCAATAATGGGTGACGGGACGATCCACTTAAAATTGGTGTCACAGCCGGCGGAAAAGCCTCCTAGACGGAATGGTCAGTTTGATTCATGATACTCGAGGCGAAGCCCGGGCATTGGATACAGGGGGTTCTTTAGCATCCGTTTGAGATTCTCGGTATTACTCACCAAGCTGTATTTCAGTACCCAAAGCGTACATGAGATTTTTGCTTTCAGTGGAAGTCCTGCCCGATTCGGGTCAATTCGAAATACGCTGTAAAGCATGCGACTCCCTCTTGACGAGGGACGAATGGAACTTCGAGAGGATTCTTCCCCTCCCGTCGGAAAATTGGCAATCATCGCAAGATATGTGGTTTTGTCACAAAGATGACCACGGTTCCGTGTAGGTTTCTGCGGTCTGATTCACAGAGGATTTGCACTACGCAGGCGAGCCGGATGGATCCGGACTAATGAATCTCTGCTTGTCCTCAGCGATGATTCCCATACAGACGCTCTCCGGGAGCAGCCGGGGGATGGAGAGGCCTCCAAAGTGGGTTGAAATAATAATCCTCACCTCAGAGCGCTACAAGCCGACGCGAGCCGATCTCTGTCTCTCGAATATCTATACCGATGTGCATGTGAAGGGATAAGGACAATTTGAAAAATTTATCATCACCTCTCTCAGGGTCTCGAACTTGGCCGGAACGCATTTTTACCGAAGAGACTCCAACCGAAACTCGAGGACTTGTTTTACTCGAAGACGAAGCTGATGCTGCACGTCAATGCGATATCGTGTGACTCTATGGTTTGTTTTCATCAATCTCTGGGACTCTCCAGGTCGTTTCGGGTTGGAGCCTGACACCCGATCGGGAATGAACCGAACTTAATCGCGTAATCGATTTCAGGCGGACCTCCGAAATCTCTCTGTTATCTGTCGCCTCTGTGATACTATCGTCGGACAAAGCGTCTCGCAGCAGTGTGTTTATTTCAATCGTATGAACGTTGATCTCAAAGATGCAAAAACTTCGCGCATCGTGAACTCGCAAACCCCGCTGAAACTCGCAGCGAAACTGATCGAAGAGCAGGTCGCGCACGGTGGTATTCATTGCAGATTAATTCTGAACTCGGTGAGTGTCGCGCGGTACTTCGTCCTCACCGACATTGTGAACCACCTTGAAGTCGAACGAAGAGCGCTCCGTGATTTTCAGGAATCATCGGGAGACACGTTGCTGATTTGGGTGCTGGAGAACGATGTTCATATGTTTCCAGCGAAGTATAGCTTACCACTTCCGGGAAAAGTCGAGGAGCCTGTCGTCTTCAGCCAGGTTCGCTGAATTCGCTGCAGTCACTCACATGGCAGCTTAGGAAAATGTTACGACTGCCTCTGACGTTTATTACTCTCGTTGCCTCGCATGCGATCTATTGGAAGTCATCTGCCATAACGTATTTCAGCATCATCAGGTGCTGTTCCACAGAACGCAGCGATCAGCATCCATTGCGCAAGTCTGGTCGTCGGAACTCACGGTATCCTCCGAGACGATTTCGCAGGAGACGCTCGACTCTCTGATGCGCCATCTCGAGGAGTCGGGGAGATTGTTCCCGCTTACTGAGAACGAGAAAGTTCCTGATCCGATCTTCGAAGTAGGCTACATTCCCGCGAGGCTAGAATGAAGTCGCTGAGGACTCCGAGCCTGAATGACAATCAGATGGAGAAGAGGATGTGATTCTCTCATCTGGGTTCTCTAATAAACGAGAGTTTCGCGACCTCGAGGCTTTTTCTCCTGCATGTCTCCTGATTTGAGTGCTTATAGGGAAATCCGGCCGAATCATTGCCAGTTAATCCTTGACCACACCAATCCATGTTGGAAGTTAATCCAGTGGGAGTTTAGCTCGAGATTAAAAAGAGTTCCCATGATCATGGACCAGCCTATCCTGTTGTCTGTCTGCTCCCTTCAAAAGTGCCCGCGACCCTCGAATCGGCTCTCGCTTCCTGTTCTATCTTGCTGAATCGAGCAGCAGTCTCCAGGGATCACGGTCACAATCGTTTTTATTTTACCCTCCACAATTGCCGATTCTTTCGGCCGCTCTCTAGCAAGCACGGATCGCTGTCTTCAACCGAAACCTTTCAGCTCCTCCGCTCCATCGGAACCATGGCGGGAACTTCGGAAGTGCTTCTAACGAGACACAACACCTCCACTCGAAGCGAGACTGGACTAGAGAGCGTACGCATCGAGAAGGACATCTCAGAGTTTATCATTTAGCTCTGAGTCTTTTCGCGATTCCTGGAGATTGCGAAGGATCCTCGAATCCACCTATCTGGCGACGGATCGGAGGCCGGAGTAGTAGGCCTCCCCTCGTATTCACACTGCGTTCTACGAATCCTGGTCCACGAATCTCTCGTACGGGAATACTCGAGCTTCATCTTCCTCTTACACCTCGAGGGGACTTTCCAAATGGGAAGATTCCAATGCAGAAGCAGATGAATCCACTCCCCTATCCTTACCCTGTCGGAAATGCTCACGGAGACCGGTTTCTCCCGAGGCCTCCCACGATCGGATGTGGTGCATCCTCTTCAGGAAGGATCCTCCGTTCGCTTTCGCATGATTGCGAAAGGGAATGATTCAAATGATGATCGACCCTAGATCTCGGCGCTCCGACACTTCGGAGGATGAGCTCAGCTCGTCGCACCGTTCTATTTGCAGCATGTTCGGCGTGTTCGGAGGAAGTATATCCCGAACACGGGTCTTCTGTGGGACTCCAAGTGAGCAAGCAGCCCGGAACGTTTCCTCCTGGAACTTCTTCCTCTCTTCTTTCCGTGGAGCGCGACTACACTCGATTTCAAAGTGTCGAAAATGCCATTCTGAGAAGAGGGCGGTGCATATTCTGTCGAATACGCCTGCGGAGGACTCTTCAGGGAACTCGAGATAAGTCGCTTAGACACGACTTCCCCTGATATGCTCATTCTCACGGCGATGAGAGACGAGTCTTCGATACGCGGACCCTCTTCAAGGTTTGACCGACTGCAACTTCCTTATATGGTTCCGGCTTCCGGTGAATAGAGCCCAGCAGCGTATAGAATCTAACCAGAATCGAGAATCACGCGCTTCCCGAAGACACGAATCCTGGAATCCCACCCGCAAGATGCGCAGTTCAAGCGCACCCCTACCCCCCACGAGGGAACGAATGAAATTCCGGCGAGGTTCTGGCTCAACGACAACCGACAACATGGGATGTAGCAGCGGCTTGTAGATTCTGCGAATGGTTGCTTATCTGAGCAATGATTCTGCAAATGCTCCATTCTTGTGAAGGAATTGACGTATTCTGCGGATCTCTATCTTGAGGCTTCGAGCTTCAAGCGTCGAATCGTGGTGGAATAAATTTGGATTCCGAATAATTGGGTCGGGGACTCCACCTCTAGAGCCAGAGTGGTGAAATGAAGAGAACTTCTAAGCCGCGAAGCCTATACTGAACTTCAGCAGCCTTTATATCATGCATCCCAGTTCCCCCCCCCAGAGCTGAAGACTCGTGGAGACAATGTGAATCCGGAAATGTTCGGAAGCTTCAAGAGCATTCCCGGGAGATCGGATCCCGAATGCGGGATCACGTTGGAATGACTTCCGATCCTACCTAAGGAATTGACTCGGGGGCTTCGCCCCAGGAAGCGACGGGGGAGAATAAAACTCCGCAATGAACCTGGCTGAGCAGCGTCCCCAACTCGGATTTCACCACAAAATTCGAGTGACTGCCCCCGATCTTGAGGAGATAGTCGAATCGTCCAAACATGCACAAAGAAAAGAGGATCCTCAGGAAACTCGGAGTTTTCGACGCTCCGGCCCGCGTTTGAGCTTCTCTGGAGCCCCCTCAAAGTGTTAAGGGAACTTTCCACTGCAACTCCTTTCTTTGGGTAACTGTGTCAGACTTTCTTCGGTTGTGTCACTGCGAAGCGAAAGTCTCGCCTTGAAAGCTCTTCGGGATTTCCCTAGTCGTATTTGGCCGCTCCCTGTTTATCATTTCCTTCGGGCTGTCCCCTCCGGTGGATGACTGAAGTTTCTCTCGCCACAACGTTCTGCGCCTTCTGCTGCCGTAAGACAAGATGATCATTTGACATATCCGTGCGGCCCGAGCCTCGATGCGTATATTCACTGCGGACACAGACGAAATCCGGCGACTGCATGTCTTGCTTTTGTCCGCTGTATTGAATTGGCGCTGACTGGCGGTTATCGGGCAGCATGCGTCTGTGGTGTCCACTCGTACTGCTCTCTTTCGCGTTACCAGTGTTCGCGAGTCCAATACTAGTTCGATGGGATGAGTTCGCCCTCTGTCTGCGGAAGCATCTCAAGCGACAGTTCAGCCCGAACGTGATATGTGCAACTAGGAAGATGGCCTCGAATTTCCGGAGGAGCGTCCGATGCCCCGGTTGTGAGAAGTTCTTCCACTGCCAGGCCAACTACGAAGCCGTGTTCCATTGTTCTCAAGCCGCCGAGGCCATTCAGACCGCACAAGTCTTCTCCGACTGTAGGGAGTACGCACAACTCGGGGGATCCGCCGCCGCCAGCCTCAGCGACCGTCAAAGAGCTAATCTTGTCGGTCGTCGCGGCGGAGATTGCGTCGGCGAGTTCCTGACGAAAGCACCCGATTTCAGCTTGGCTAGTGTGTTCAATTTGGGAGCACCGCGAAAGTGTCAATGGAATCCTTACGAAAATACGTGCGGCACCGCTGGCGGTGAAGTAATTGCTAGTGCAGACTATCCACCGCTCCCATCAACGACGGCGAGGCCGTATGCGCACCAAGATTCTCCTTACAGCAATAGTGTGGCTGCATCATCACAATCACCGTTCAGCCTCGCGACACTGATTAATCTCACTCAGCCTCTCTTCAATCTGAAGCCGACGGGAGCAGAGAAAGCCCCCAGTCTTATCGGAACGCTACAGACATTGAACAGTATCAAGAACAAACTTCCTCAGTTTTCAACGGATACCGCTGTCGAGCCGAACACGAAGCCGGCGAACGACGAGGAAAATATCATAGCGATGACAACTCCTGTTCCCGGAGAGCCGAGACCCCCCAGAATTCCCATCGTGAACAGCGATCTCCCGGATCAGAATCTTCACACGACCGTGCAAGACGATCCACTTTTCGGCAGTATCGCTTCCGCTTTCGGCTCCTTCTTCGGTAAGCCTCCCTTGATTGGGCAAGACGAAAATCTGGCCGCATCGGCACCTCATCCGCCGAATGAGCAGCGGCCGCCGCCGATTCTGATACCGTTGAATGAAGAGAACACTTACGCGCGTCCTGAGCGAGGAAGCACCACCGCGACGGTGAGTATCGAACAATGAACGAATTCGCTGAATCCTGCGGTATCCCAGGGAAGCGTGATTCGCACGAATTTGCGTGATTTTGTTCTTTGATTCCTTCAGGGTGACGCGTCGCGGAAGCTCGCGCATAATCAGGACGGGACGTCTAAGCAATCATTCATCTTCCCCGCTTCGAAGAGAGACTCATGATCCAGGATCGTATGCGTCACCAGCACTCCGCGGTCTCTCAATCGAACACAACCCCACGCACGCACGCACGGTGAGCTCGTCCGACCGTAGCTGCCCTTCGATTTGTGGCGGATTCTCATATGACAGCTCTGCTCCCGTGGATTTTCCTCGTTGACTCCCTCTCTACATATATGAAAGTTGATGCTTCTTACTTTATGTACATAGATGAATAGATAAGTCTTAGACGAAGATTATGGGCGATCCACAATCACAATAGCAGCCCAGCAAAGTTCGGGCGCCCACGCGGGTGCATGTATTATACACTGAATCGAATCGAAGCGCGATGAATAGATTTACCGCGACATTCCACCGCCCTGTGTATCTAATGAGTGATTGCGTATCGAATAATTGTGAAAGAGCCATTAAAGGTGAGAGTGAGGATTGCATCGGGTTTTGCTTGATCAGCTTGAATCTGGCACAACAATCAGTGCGCGAGGAGTTCGAGTTCCTGGACAGGGCAGCCGATCGATCGTTCCCGACAGATTGCAAAATTGGGCTTTCACAGGAGACTGCCGCGCCGGTTATACAGAAGAATGCGGAGCACTGATTGAGTACTTCGGGGCATTTGCCTTCGAGCGGGATCGTCTCAGTCAGTCAGATGCTCATTTCTCCCGATGCTGCTCGCTAAGAAAGTATCCCTGACGGATCCAGAATACTAATCGTAAGACATAGCTAGGGGATATGCAACGCTACTCCGCATGGATCTCACTCAGTCCGATATCCGGCAATATCAGTTCATGGTCCATCGATAAGGGACTGATGAGCATGGATGCTGCTTGTGCCTTCGGAAAGGGATCCGCCTGCGAATTAAAATGAGGACCTCCTTCGATGACGGATATTCCCCGATCTTGAACCCTTCGAGAAAATGCCGCCACCATTGTTGCCTCATCGTTGATGCCTTGATCAGATTCGAGATATGTACGGGAATGGAGTCCAATCGAATCCAATTAGAATTCACGAACCATGTTCCTCAGCGTCCGATTTGTCCTTTTCAACGAGTCCCTCAGTATGTACATCGGAGTGATGGCGGAACTCGAAGATTTTCCGCATCTCCTATGCAGTAGCGTTTCCCATAGGCCATTTCCGAGGGTGAAACCTGAGGCTCGCGCGATTCGGAGCACCTCTTCGTATCCTCAAGTCAGAAGCCAGCCTAACTGGAGCTGAACCTCATTACGCCATGCGTCGCGAGAAACTTTTCCGTGCCAGTCAAGCCAGAATTCCGCGGACAATCTTCCTCTCCTCCTCCGTAAAGCGAGAAAATGTCTTCAGGATCCCGCCGTACCTTTGACAGTCGCCTTTTGTTTTGGGGTAGCAACTTGGCGTCCCCCCCTCAGATCCTGATTCAACGGCGATATCGCGATCTCCGGGAACCTCCAATGGCCTGATCTCTCTCGCAAGCGCTGCAGGATACAACTGCTCAAACCAGGCGGCTCTTCCTGAGAATCCTCCAGCGCAGGGACTCCGGAAGGGTATCCTAAGACTCCTCGCGGGTCCCAGCTCCCTTTCTCCGAGGTCCCGAAAGTCGGTGAAAATGACTCGAGTTGTGATCCTACGGAAAAATACGTCTGGAATGGCTTGCAGGGATATCGACTGGCCACACTGCGACAGAACTCCTCTTTGTACTAGGAATTTATAATTCAAAGAAAGACAGGGACATATTCGTCGTCTAGCCAAGGCACCGACACGCGATTTCGGAAAGGAATCACAAGGGGTCCCGCACAAACGAAGATTCGGAGAGAGTTTCGCGCTGAAAAGAAAAGGGGGAACCGCTGACCTAACCGATCCCGTCGATCGAGCGACCGGGGCTGTGATTCCCGGCCCATCTTTATTCGGCGGCTCGTGTCCGGAAGAATGACAATTGCTCAGATGATCCGATCGCTCGGGGATTCGTCTCGATTCCCGGACCGGAAGTTACTCGGAGACCCGAAGACCCGAATAAACGTCGAATGAATTTAGGGGCTGCCGCATCGAGCCGACGAAACAATTCGACGAGTCTCTTTTTCGTTCGCTCGTGACGGAGTTTCGAGCGCTCCAGCGACTGAAGTCCTGAACTGAACTTCCCACGGATAATCCTTCGGTTCGTTCCGAGTAGCGCTAGCCGATGGCCGGCTCGACGATATCCAATGGCCAGGATCTACTCGAGCGCGAGTTTCTTGCACCTTCCAGGTATTTAAAATATTTTTATTCGGTGTGTAATTGAACAAGAGCTAAATCTCAACATTGATTTCAATGAGAGTAGAAATCGGCATCCGCAGAAGAGACAATATATTTCTTTGTGTATAGGGGACTCCGTGCCGCACTCCTCGTGAATGTAACGATGTTGAAACCTCATAGCGGCTCGAAGAGTCAAAATTATGCCTATATTAGTGCCTGCTGCCCGCCACTGGCCTCACTGCTCCTCTGAAACACAATCGAAGCAAGAGTTAGTACCGGAGCATACAGCTCTCGTTCATTGGAAGCAACCCATCATTGTCAAGAGCGAGACAAAATCACCTGATTCTTGATTCTGTGATTGGTCGTCGAATCTGGCTCCGTGAGAGAGCAAATCAAAAGCCTCTCCTTCCTCCCCTCGAGGTAGAGCCGGCAACATGTATTGAGGCTGCAGCGCGGGCATCATCATCTGTGGAACAGCTCCCCCGGCATCGATTGGAGGGATTGAGGGCATCGCGGATCCCGTATGGATAGTATTTTCAACAACGTCAACGAAGCGACCTGAAAACAACCCGTTGAGTCGAGACGTCAAGCTATTACGTCATAACAATAAGTTGGGAACTTACGTTTGTTATTCGACCTTCTGAATCGATTTGACCCATTAGGGGGCGCTGCCTGCTGAACTGGGTCTGGTTGTTTACGACTCGCATCCGAGGCCGATGGAATGACTTGGGGAAAAGATTGAGCGGATGACTGAGGACGAAAGAAAAGCGTCACGACTCGATACTCGACGACTGCCTCTATCTAGAGACCCGATTCCATATTGCGTTCCACGTTAGGCTCTTTCCGTGCTTCCGAGGCCGACGGCTGGACTACACACATACTATGTATTATTCCCGACAAACGGCGGTGCCTGGTTACGCGACGCACGCCATCACGGGCTCTCGTAGCTCTGAGCTCTACAGTTGGGTCTACAGTTAATACAGAAACCGATTCAGATCGAGTCTTTGACGACGAAGTGAAGAGAATTTGCGAGCAGAAAGTCAATTTGAAATGAGTTCCGGAGGAGAAAGAAGGTGTTGTACAAACCTTCTTTGTACAAGAGTACAAAGTCTGGAGTACTGTATCTATGTAGGAGTCTGCTGTATCTATGAGAGAATCTCCCGTGGACGGGACAGAATATATACGTGAATACTTTGAAATACAGTAAAAGCTCGTTACTACGAGCACGAAGGGACCGAGGAAACTGGTTCGTTGTACCGAGTTTCCGCTGTAACGAATGCCGCTCAACACTATCCCTATGGCGAGCTGGCCGAAGGAGGAGAAATTCCTTGTTCGTTGTAACGAGAATTTCGTTGTAATGGGGGTCGTTATAACGAGCTTTTACTGTATGAGTCTTGTGATTGGTGGGAAATGCTCGAGCAACAGAAAAATCATCGACAATATCATCTTATGAATTCATGTCGCCGCGGGGGATCAGTGAGAAGCGTCTGGACTTGGACGACGCGGGAAAACCGCGCTGTAGGCTGCGCTTGGCACCGATACGGAGTCGAACAAAGGAAATGCGTCGCATCGTAGCAGAACCCACCATGGTAGGTATCGGCGGAACGGGCGCTTCGCCTCGACCGATATCCGATGGCGGTGGCGGCAACGCCGATGCAGCTCCCTGGGTCGCAGGGTCAGCGTTCCGATCGACCCAAATTTTTTTGTTTGCATCCCAAACGATCTGCAAGGTAGCCCCCGTTTGTAACAATAGTTCCTAGCTCCTAGACGCACTTTCATCACCAAGCCAATTGCGGCCAGGAAGCTGAACGCGAATCATTAGCTTTCGAATATGGCTACGGATCTCTCATTTACCGATTGCTCTTTATCATCAGGGAGGATCATCTGATTCGGTCCTTTGGGAAGGAAATTCTTAAGGATTCCAGGCAACCAGCTCGACCCAGCACGGTTCGATGGCGCGGAATTTTTCCCCGGTGAGGGACTGAAAGGGAAGGGAAAGATTATTATTTACCTCAGAGCAAGTTCTGATTACGATATGGAAATTCCGGATTGTCTCGAATGCCACAACGAGAGGAGGCGATAAACTCTTACGAGGCTCCCGGGGACATCCTTTCCGATTTCGTCTGTACCGGCGACTGCGTTTGTTGCTGATAAGATATCATTTCATCCTGGAAAGGCGTCGAAGATCCCTGGTCAAAAGAACTTCACTCGACCAAATTTTCATGCAGAATGCTTCAATTTTCGCAGGATCGTTCGCTCCCTAATTGTGATTTCACGGACCTGATGTAGCGGGGCCATTTTCATTGATTCATTAGTTGTCGCCGACGTTATAGAACTGGAGATGGAAGCGATGCTTCGTCGCTGTCCATATTGAGCCTGAGCCCCGAAAGAATTCGAATGCTCGAGCGGGGGTGCGTGAGCTGCCGGCACCTGGTGGATCCCGTCCACGGAGCTGCTCCGCGAGTATTGCTGAAAAGAGTGTATTAGGTGAATTTCCTCAGATTATAATCTTTGCAGCATCGGGGGACTTCTGCTCGAATCTTCTCGACTGAGCGACCCGCGAAAAGGTACGACTGACAGTGTCATTCCCTGTCATTCCCTTCATGTGCATTGTCGGATTTCTGAAGATTGAGGGTGCACTGCCTCTCCCTAGGCTGAGGCTCCCGCGGAATATGCCGATACTCTCGGGATTCCGGGGACTTGGAGGGGCATCGAGGAATAAGTATAGCATATGGATATATCCTCCCGTTCCGACTAAAATCGATGACATCGAGCAAGATCCCTCAGAAGCTAAGAGGAACCAACCTCGTTCGAGTAATCTGGCGTGTCTCTCGCTTGATTGGTTGGAAGCTCATCACGGGCTTCTTGAGAAGGGGGACTGGCGTTCAGCTGTCCGTAGAAACTTGACTGCTGGTGTTGGTGTTCATGGTGCTGCTGTTGCTGTAAACGTCCAATTTACAGGGTTTACAAACTTTTTCATTTCCCGAAGAAAATTGGTATACGGAAATGAACATTCAGAATCTGCGATTCACCTGCGCGTAGTAGCCATATGCTTGTTCTTGTTGCTGCTGTTGCTGCTGCTGCAGCGATTGGTCGAACGTTTGCGATGGTGCACTTTGCGGAACTTGATGTATTTGGTGGATCTCTTGCTGCTCTTGGGGCCGCACCGGAGCTTCACAATACTGCGCTTCCATTTTCACCTGGGATTCTTCGAAGTCGGATGGTCTTCTACTCTCGAGATTCCGATCGACCGGCTGACCACTCTGGAACAAGGATAGACTGTCAGATCAATGGATGAAGAGGAATCGATGCCCCTCGTTGATCATATAAGTGCGAAATGCCTGAGGAAATTCATTCGAATAGGACAGACCTGCAGCGCGATATCGACTTCCTCGAGAACCATGAGCCATTGAGGATGTCCCAAGTCTTGATTAACCGCATCTTGACTGTAGTGGGCATCGTGGTAACGTAATCTCGAAGCTAAGCAGTAGACCTCGTGAATGAGTTCGGGTTTGTAGGCGAAGTGATTCCTGCGGATACCAAACAGTCAGTCGCTCCTCATAGGACGCTTGGCGATTTCAAATGGGTCACTAGATAGATAGACACTAGGATGAATGTCATCCTGTACGAGACCATCCCTAATGTACCTGACAATCTCGATCGACAGTCGTTCGCAATAGTGAAGTGCTTCCTGAACGAAACCCCGGTCGACTAAGCGCTTCGCATGGAGATATTTATACAAGCCCAGACTTGGGAGAGTGTAGCCCGGGTTCGAAAGGGACTTCGCGTACTCGTAAATCTCGGTGCACATGATTGCCTCGTTCGTCGCGAATTCGGCGAAGTTTTGCCTGGAAAGGAATCCCTTATCAGGCGAAAGCTCCTCGTCGGGATCCGACAAAATGAAATCGTAGGTTGTGTGCCGAATCCGGTTAGCTTCATTACAACTCACATGTGACTGGTGGCAAGAAGGACAAGTTTGCACCTCTTGTCTTGGAACTCGCCGAAATCTACCTGAGCCATGAGGTAACAAAAGTGTGCGGCATACAGACATCCTCTCGAAAGAAGAATGTCTCCCATCGTTACGATCGATCTGCAAGGACGATAATTCTCTTCGACTCTGTATATATGTATTTTCCGAGATATCCTTCTGATCACGCAATGCAAGAGAGCATACCCTGCGTCGATTTCCGGCCTAGCGGACGGGTTTGCTAGAATCATAGCAAGATGAGGTCTCCAGTCTCCCCAGGTTACATCCCCCACGCAAGTCACTGAAGTCGGCTAAGTACAAGAAGCGACGGGATTGATTAGTTTGATGCGTTCGGATCCTAGATTCATGGGTCTGAGAGAGGAGCTTTCGATTCCGATGGCAGAGAGGAGCTGAGATTCAGGTGAAATGACAAACTCTCTCCGGTTGAGCTCACGAAGTGAATTGTTTCGGAGCAATTAGATTGCCCGAACAAGAGGGAAAAATAAGCTCACCTGTCGACCAGAGTATAGCTGATAAACAGTTTGCAGAGGATCGTTTCCTGCGAACGACTGGTGGAACTTGGAATCTACGTAGGCATACATTTTTGTATCCATCCTCGATGACAGAGAGAGGGCATGCCCCCATAGTTCACAACGGATGGCGTGTTCGATCGCCTCCTTACGATGACCGAACAGCAGGAGCTCCCGGAATTTCGACAAGGCTTGCTCAGGACTGAGACCTTGGCGCCGAATACCTCGCGATGCCTTACGATTGAGCCTTGTGCCGTCGACGGTGGTTTGGCTATCTTCGGAGCTCGCCTGGAAATCGACGGAGAAAAATTCAAACTGGGATCCCCGTCGAATATCTCACTTGAGTGCTGCACCGTCGAGCGTTCTTCTCACCCTGTCGCTTTCTTCGATTTGGGACATCTCCTGCTCCGCAAGTTTCTGCACCGAGGCTGGGTCGACGAAGGGAGCGTCCTTGAGGAGCAACTCGGCGATATCGGTCCCTGTCACGAGTCCATTCTGTCTCAACAGCAGTATCAAAAGTTCCCAGAGTAAAACATACGATTCACGGTCGACGATATGATCTACGTCGGGCTTATTCTTCCGGATTGCATTGACCCGTTGATTGCAGAAATGGATGACCTGCGAAAGCAAGGAAATTAAATTTGGACTGCCGATACGAATCCTCCCTGAATTCACAGAGCTAAGATCTCTATCCGGAGCAAAAATGAGTTCCGAGGAGCGTCCTACTTGATTCTTGTGTGTGTCAGCCCTCACGAGAGGTCCGGGGAACTTTGCGAGAGCTTTGCTCTCCGGATCTTCTTCCAGGAGCAACTTTAAATCGTGGATCTCAATAGCCGGTGGTTTTGAATCCAAGGTCCTGTTCGACGGATGGAGCTTGACGAAAGTATTGAGCGATGTGAAATGGGCGAAAGCGTGAGGCATGATGTACTTCTTCAACTCTTCAGGTGTTGAGACTTCTGAAACGATGGAACGAATTGATCCAGTCAAATCTCCCGAGAGCTCTCGCTCGATCACTTGCTAATTCGTCCGCGGCTCATGGTGCGTGCATCAACTCACCTTCTTGGCGTGAGCTACTTTCACCGAACACAACAGACGATGACAAACTTTCGTTCAAATCAGCGAGCCCCATGCTCACAGATTGCTGTAGGTCAGGCTCGTCGCAGATGTAGCTTCGTACTTGTCTGATGTCGAATCCTTTGGCAGCGCATTGCACAAAATAGTCATCGAGCACTGCGCGGTAATCAGGATCCGTTTTGTAGGCGTGCCTGACAACCTGTAGATCTTGACCTGGAGGGGAGTCGAATGTTCAATGCTCTGTCCGTTCTGGTCGCGGGCTCTTCTGCTCCGACCATTTCGGATCAATAGATCAATCAATGGAGCAATCAATCGCTCCCGAGATATCCACCTGTGAGCTCTTGAGGTATCATCCCCGCGCTTATTTGACTCTGTTGTTGGTGGCGATGAAGCGGCTGTTGGGGCGCGCGAAGCACTTGTGGCTGCCGCGGATGCAGTGTCGAACTTAACGACTGGAATTTGTGAGAGCTCGATGGGAAACCCCTGGGATCATGCACCGGATGCATCCCCACAGCGTAAGGACGGTCGAATCTTCCGCGCCTGTCATCCATGCTCCCGAAATGCGAAATCTCGGAATCCGAAATCTGTGAAGTCGTCATGCTGTCGTTCACTGAGGAGCCTCGAGTCGGAGGTCTATCGGGGTAGAAGTCGGGTCGTTTGTCCCGTCGATTGATATGGCCGCCTCGACGCGTGCAGGATCTGAAAATCGACCGCCATATGTAGCCTTGCTCTCGTGCGAGGTCTCGAAAGAGCGGACTCGAACCCGGTCCACAACCCTCCGGGACTTGGTCAAACGTTGGCTCACCGTCTGAGGTCGTAATCACTCTCGTCGGGATAGTCCCTACTCCTCATTCGACGAGCGTCGTCCGAACGTCTTCTCGGTCGACCAGAGGTAGCCTCGCTGTCGTCTCCACTTCTGTACTTGTTGAGTCGTTTGTCTCCCGTATACTCCGAAAAATCGGTTTCGTCCGAGTTTCGCTTGCGGTCGGTACGTCTTCGGTGCCGTTTCTCCTCGTAATAGTCTTCGTCTTCGTAGTCGCGATCACTAGCGTTTTTTCGTCGAGAACGTTCGCCGTCACTGTCACGGTGACCTCTCCTGCAACAGAAAACAGAACGATATGGGTACTAGCTTTAGATTTCGAACTCGGAGTGCCCTACCGAAGACTTCTCTCACAAAGAAGAGCGCGCCGTCCAAGCATTGGCGTCTACAATGATGAATCCATAGAACTGAATATTTTCCCCTGACAACTTACCTCCTATACTTGCGGATTTCGCTTCTGTCTGAATGATAGTCATATTTTTGAAGCCTCTCCCGTGAGTCCCTCCACCTTTGCTCACGTTTGGAAGCCGCCGGCAGCTCGTGTGCGCGTTCCTTCATCTGCAATTCCCAAGGGGAGAACCATTTTATCCAGGGGTCCGACTCGATCGGCAGGGAACCCATCGATTCATTACAGGACGTTGCCTGATACCCAGTTCTACCCACCTTCTGATGCAATGTCTCTCGATTATGTTCCGCAACTTCGCTGTCGTCCGAAGAGGACGATGAAATCGCGGAGCGTCGGCTCCTTGTCCTCTCATCCTGACTGCACTGAAAGTGGAAGCGTCGTCACGGTAACTCAAACAGAATCTCAAATGACCAGCAGAAGTATCCAATCACACATTTCAGCTCACACTTCTGTACGATTCGCTGTTCGGCGGTTGAGACGGAGGCTCCAGGGATGCCTTCGGGTTGAGAGCGACCGAAACGGGGTTCCCTCCTTCTCCTCCCAATGGACTCTGCCTGATCGACGATGCGTTTTGATACACATTCGGAACACCGCTCCGTTCGGCCGAAGCGCGTTGCCCTATGACCTCTCGGGTTGCGATGGTATTGGAGTTGGAATCGCTTTGGGAGTCGTCCGTGCCGAAAGCAGCGTTCGTCGAGCTCGGAGCCGAGCTCTGCGAAGGCACAGGGAACGCCATCGGTGCCGGGGACTCTCCCTCAGCTGGCGCTCCCTCTGAAGCAGGTCTGACCATGTCGGCTAAATACGAACTTCGTTCCTGAGAGCTGACGTCGAAGGTGGTACCTTGCGAATTCCGTCTCTGTTCGGACGACGTCGAGCCCCGACTGATCGGTCTCTCCGCGGAGCCGCATTCAATGAAGTTCTCACGTGGTGAGCAACGCTCATCGTCGTTCGCTCCCTGGTGGACCCGGGAGTCGTCGACTTCGATCGTAGACTCGGTGTCGAGGTTCCTCGTTTCAGAGACCTCCGATAACGACGGCGGGGCCACGGTCGACTCTGGATCTTGACGCTGTTGCTGGTCCACAGCTCCCGAGGGATACTGCCGCGGAGCCTCTTCGAGAGGAATATCTTCTCGGAATGATTCCCGCTTTTCGTGAGGCCTTCGATCTTCGTCTTGGGGAAACTGCGGTTCAGGGTCGCGCTGGTCGCCTCGAGCATTCTGCTGCCCGTGTTCGATTTGCTCTTGCATTCGATGTGTCGGAACTTGGGTAGAAGCTCCAAGTTGAGCTTCACAACTCGCTGCATTCGATTCTTGCGGGCGATAGTCCTGAATAGTCAAGCATTCCATGTTGTCTTCGAGGGTATCCCAGCTGTCTGAAATCGGTTGGTCGTTGTGTTCCTGCAGGGCGAGTGACGCATCCTCGAGGTCGTCTTCAACCCGAGGTTCCGCTGCTCCTGGGGTGGCCCTATCGTAATTGTCCGCTAGCCCGTCGTCTCCGCCAGGTCCCAGACTCGTATCGAATGGCATTGCCTGCGCGTTGTATCCGCCGAGCGACATCTGCTGAGCGTCCGTGTTCGCAGGTGAATCCGTGACGCTGTTGTATTGAAGTTTATCAGTCTCGTTGACACCGGCACCGTAGTCTACGCTGCCATGAGTCTCCGTGTTCGCAGGTGAATCCGTGACGCTGTTGTATTGAAATTCATCAGTCTCGTTGACACCGGCACCGTAGTCTACGCTGCCATGAGTCTCCGTGTATTCAGGGAACCGATCCGGTCCTGGTGCCTGCTGCGGGACATGGCCAAAGTCGTGGTTATTGAAGTTCTGTAGCGACTGATGTTGAGGGTCCTGGTGGTGATACTGGTTATCGAAATGTTGTTGTTGTTGTTGACGCTGTTGATGCTGTTGATGCTGTTGATGCTGTTGATACTGCTGATGCTGTTGATGTTCTTGCTGTTGTTGCTGCGGATGCTCTTGTTGCCTCTGCTGTAGTTCGGGAACACAGTCTCGGTTGCCGTGAGGCTCCCGGTGGAGGCTGTCTCTTCTATCCGCTTGTTCTATCGATTGTGAGTTTCCGGGCAAAGTCGATTGGGACGGGTACATCTGCTGGACTTGGGTCTGGCCTCCGGATGAATATCCCTCAAGCTCGGAAGTCGTTGCAAAACCTGGGACCGAATTCCCATCGTTGTACTGATACAGGGGAGTCGAGCACGTCGCTGGGTACGAGAAATTGTTCACATCCACTTGCGGAGCATACGATTCGTGACTCTCACGAGCGAGACCTGAGTCATGCTGTTGGTTATGATACACTTGATCATGATCGTATGCGGGGTACTGAGGGCTCTGTTGATTCGGAGCCTGTTGGTGTTGCGCTTGACCATAATAGTTCTGGGTAGGCAGTGATGGCTGACTATTGTTGTTTTCCCAGTTTTCCCATCCCTGATTGCCCCAATCACTCCACACCTAAAAAGATCCGCCGATGATTGCCACGGAGGAACACTTCGTTCTGAACACAATCGGAACTTTTCTGAATAATTTCGAATTCTCCTTGCCGACCTGAGAATGTCCAGTCTTACTCACATCCTGCTGAGCATTATGGCCATTAGAATCCGACTTTTGATGGAACTCCTCATTCATCACGCCCTGCAAACGGACTCATATTAGATCGTTGCGGCGGTTTGCTCGTCATCCCTGATCTCCTAGGGATTTTCGACTCGGGGGAAAGGGGACCTCTATCAGGATAAGAAATCCCATTCTGCCTAAGTGAAAGATGTAATCCACACGCTCCATCACTGAGGATCGATGTAGATATGAACGGACTCGTTACAGTTGTCAAGAGCGTCTCTGCTATTTGGACCTCGATGAAGCATGGGTGCCGAAATTCGATGCCTCCATCGAACGTCAGGCTCTTAAACCTCCATACCCCAAGCGGATGGTCCTATGGAAGGTACCGTTTTGGGTCGAGCTTTTCGATTGAAGGGTAACTGATGAGCGTATAATCTCGGAGGACGTCTCGATTCCGAATTCTTAATGGGAAGTCCATTCCAGTGGAATACAGAGAGCGAGCGACGTTTCTCCAGAGAACAAAATATTTTCAAACACAAGAGATATCCACGCGAGATCACATGATGAAGCGGAAGTCTCAGACCGAACACAGAATGAACAGCGTCAGACTTATTCTAAAGCTCCGTGGGCAGCTGTCATAGGATAATGAGCGAGGTTTTCGACGCGAAAATCAAGCGAAACTTTTTCCGGCGAACTGATGGCTGATGAACACTCGATAGAGTTGCTCAATGGATTCTCTCAGAGGATACTCCAGACGTTTCCATGCTCAGTCGGAACTTTCCCTTCGGCGGCGAACTAGAACCAGAACTCACGTGATTATCGCCCCATTGGTTGGGGTAGTTGTTGCTTGTGTGTTGGGAAGAATCCTTTTGATTTTGATGGTTGTAATCTACGTCAGAGAAGCCTTGGCTCTGGCTGGGCACCGAAAGCGTTTGAGCCTGCCATCCGCTCTGGGCGACGTTGTTTTCTTGTTTAGCTATAAGGGGATGCAAAAAATATACGGGAAATTAGCTGATCATCTGAACATGGATCACTATCGAAGGAAAAATTAAATCTGCCGGATCCTGCGCGAGATCCTGCCTGCGGAAGCGCAGTCAAGATTGATATATATTATATACAGACATAAATATAATATTATCATGTCTGTATATTCCCCTTTACGTATTCTCGGGGATCAATCCCCTTTCCTCGAACGCATTCGATTCCAGCACAGTCAATCTAGGCCTATCCTTAAATAGTCAGAGATCCGATTCGAGCCCTGATATATCGCGCGTCACTATCGCAGATAGCGGAAGACGCTATCCCTGATCACCGAGCCTCTACGGTGATGCACAACAAGCGAGCAAATGGACTACCGGAATCCACTCTGACTCGGGAAGGGCCGCCGGGGGTTCGTTGCCATATTTCGATGCTCCGATCAGATCTCTCGGCCACGAAACTCGATGATCCAAATCTTGAGATTTAAAAGTAATCTCTACGCGCACGGGAGCGACTCGCGGTCCCCCTATCGTCACAGGCAGCGAACATTCTGGCGTTCGAACTTCCGTCCTGCGAAATGTGTGTCTGTGCAAGGAGCCGCTGGAGACCTACATTCTATCTGCATAAACGACACATTCACGGCAGACTACAGAATATCATTTTGGACTCCTCTCAGAATATGGGAAACCACCCAACGCGGCTCTTTGACGCACGGCCTGCGTGGATCCGGCAATCCGAATCTGAGAGGATTCGAGCACCAATCGCCTCGAAACTGATTGAGACATTGCTCAAAGAGACTGAATATTTGCTCATCTGACGGCACTTCCAGCCACGAGCAGTCTCCTCATCCATCCGCCCCATCTTAGATCAGGATTAGGCACGTGAGACGTGAGGCGCCCCATGAGAGAAGATTCTGAGCCCAAGGTTAGCACAATCAGATTGAGTCAGAAAACTCGGGCACGGACTCGATAGTCAGATGCTCCATCGAGAGGAGTCCCCCGTGTCGAGAGTCTGGCCGTGAGAGGGTTCGTTCTCTCAGTCGGAATATCTGCTTGGGTCAATCTTCACGAATGGTCATCGGGGACATTTCCGTACGATGGCTCGCCGATCAAAACCGTATCACGCCCATGCATCGAACAAGAAGTCAACCTCATCAATATGAAATTGCACTACAGCAAGCAGTCAACGGTATCGTTCCGTGTCTCCCGATTAATCAGAAAGGCGGGAGGAGTTCCCATACCGGCTTCGACTGAGGATCCTCAGCGCCCCTGTTCGAAGAATAATTGATGTACGCTTACCTTTAGGATAGCGGCCACGTTTCTGAACCAGATTGTGCGACATTTTGAGCGGCGTTGATATTCTGAAAATAATGATAGGAAGATTAGGGAAAGCTGAGCGACTGAGCCGACGTCATGGCATAGGTCGTTCTGAACTGCAAACCTCCGTCACAACACTGCTCGTTCTCCTACTGATAACAGATTACTCTGACATCGAAAACGATCATCACCATGCACCGCTCATCGTATCCTAATCGCGTTTCGAGAACGTGTACGGCCCGAGTTCCAGACCGCGGTGAACCATCACCTGACTTTCCCCTGACTGTCCTCGGTCGAGACCGTCTATCTCGAAATCTCGAACCTCCCGAATGCTTCAATTCCGTGAACGGAGACTAACTTATTCTGGGACGGCGCGGCGCCTCACAGATTCCCACGATTATCGCACATCCCTTGAGAGCAATCGCAAATTCCAAAGGAAAGTTGTTTCCACGTTCCCCTTATCATCCGGAGCTGCCAACATATGACAAGTTTCCAGCTGTTCCCGATGTCAATAGAAGACGGCGTGACCCCCGTAACGAGCTCACATCGATCGCGGAGGGGATCCGGCAGTACTCTAAATGGGGGCAAAATTAGGCACAACTCCCCAGATGAATTTTAGAGGTCTATGACGAAATGTCGACGTGTACCTATTTCAGTGCTGTATGGCAGCAGCCGGTGCCATTCCTGTTTTCTGTCCCTTCAACGCTTCCTGCACAGGGTCCAAGCTCGGATCGATACCCTGGACAGGTAGTCGGCGAATATCCTAGCTCATTCACGGCACTTGATACTGGGAACGATATTTCAGAGTTTTCCTCCAGAGAAATTCGAAGCACTACCAGGCTTTTACATAGGAGCAGAATAGAACATCTTTTCACAAAGTCCCACAAACGAACCACAGCGAGCAGATATGTGGTACGGAACGGAATCGTGGAGAACTAGCAACGCTTGCTCCCCACAGAGTCGCGCCCGAAAAAAGTTCCGAGTCCTCTCACGCATCACCCCGAGTAGGACTTATTCGGCTCCCCTTGGCTCCTTAAGTCCGAACATAGGCGTGGTGCTCGAGAAGATGCGCCCTTTCGGCTCATGAGTCTCGGTTTCCTGACAAGCACAGCTCTAGGAGTCCCCCGCGCGCGGAGTGCCACTTGTCGCTCGACTCGCGAGAAGCGTGGAGAAGAGTTACGATGATCTTCGTCCCGAGGCCTCTCCATCGACTGGAATCACCCCGATAGGTGTGCTCACACACACAAACCGAAACTTCATCTCACCTACTCCAGAACCTTCGAATTTCGCGCCGTTCTAATGTGTTTTCCGAAATCCTGAGCAGACGGAGAGGAAAGCATCATACATCTCACTTCACATCGAAAACGTTTTTGCTGTATGTTGGGAATTTCTGCTCTGCTAGGTTCGAATGAAACTCGCTAGATTGGACGAGCGAGGGTTCAGGCCAATTCTTCCATTATTTTACGGGAGCATCCTGTTAGTGATGGACGAGCACCGTATGTGAATCGCATGATCTATTCCTGCTCCATCCTAAATCACTGAAGGCTGCCTTCTTCGTGCAGAAGGCCTGTGGCGGCAGTTTCTCCACAGATATCGATTCGCGATTCATCGAAAGTCCTGAGAAATACTCCGGAAGTCTTGATTCTCGGTCCATGTGTCCAGGCGGTGCTGTGCCGTCCAGGGCAGGCACCAGACTCAAGCAGAAATTCGGAGCTCACGAGTCACGAGGAATTAAAAAGAATCTTAGGGATCCCGGAAGAAGATTCAGGAAGTTTATCATCCGGTTGTTGACGGTCTCCATTTGAGATCGCGTGGTAGGGGAAACCAGAGAGGTACTAAATCGAAGTCTCTTTCCGGCGGGTCTATCAACTCCGCTTTTCATACATGCGAACTAGCGCCATGTCCTCTCGGCTCCCGGTAGCAAAGCTTTGCCCGGAGGCAAAGCTTCGTTTGAGCTTCGAAAGCGATCGACGCATTCGAACGATAGTTCTCACGCTGCACTCTCGTCGAAAAGAACATGGGTCTGAACATGATTCTTCTACATTCACACCTGAGAGAGTCTGAATTCCAGATGCAGAATCGCGGCTGAAAAATTCGCGATCTTGAGGCGTTGAGCCGGGGGCTCGGCCTCCAGAGCTAGAGGGAGCACATGAAATTCTTGCGAGTATGGCCCATAGGCAGCCGCCCCCGCCTCGAAAAAGTGCGGCTGGCCTTCATAATGGCAATATAATCTAATCTCGGGGATCAGCGATGATCTGTGCTCACACGTCACGGTGGAGTTGGTCCTCTATACATCACTGCGGGTCAGAACTAGTCGAGAATCTGCCGGATGTTCTTCGAGCATACCTTGGTGGACAATCGTTTTGGGAGGGAGCGGAAAGATTCACGATGGACCCACCTTGCTCAATCGAGATTGGCCAGGACGATGACTTATTCTTAGGTCAAACATTACTAGCACTCCCATGTGACAATAATTGGTCTTCTCGAATAGACCCGTAGCTTCCTCCCTGCGACGAAGAACGACTTGGCGACAGAAATGAGCCGGAGGCAGGCCCAGACCGAGAATCGGATCCGCTAGCAGGGGAATTCAATATTTTGGGGTCTCGAACAGTGCAGGATGATTCACAGCAGAACCTCCTCATAGCGTACACGGATATAACGGACACTCGGTTGCGACGGAGCGATTGCTCGGTCTCGGACGGGCTCACAGGATCTTCAATGTTACACTCGGCTATGGCGGACCCAATTACGGAATTTTGTATAGAAGAAACAGATTTCCAGGCCCGTATTTTCGTATAATAGACCGTTTCGGCCGATCACTTCAATTCCGTCATAGCGTTGCTCCATTATTGTATGATCTTCGCATGAGAAGGCGCTTCGCAGAAAATATTAGAGCGTATTCGAGGGCCGTACGCGCTCGCTGTAAGCTGGGTTCATATGCCTCTATGGGGGTCTACGACCATCAAAGATCCCTTCCGTATCTTTCTCCTTTTCTCTGAAGCATCCCACTTTGGGTACAGCTCTTCCAGCTCGAGGGTACTCAAATCAGGTGGGCTCTCCCCGGAAGGCTTCGGAGGCGCACTGAGAAGCAGTGGTTTATATCGGGGAGGGACATGGACTGTTCGGGAGGTTGAGGTTCAATTCCGGGAAGGGGGAGTTTTCCCATTGGAAACACCCTCGTTTGAAAATTCGACTCTATTCGGGATCGTGATCATCAAGTTTCCCGCCTCATTCTCCACATGTTTCGTGAATGAGTGCGTGACCTGACCTTGTGAATGAGCTCCAGAAGCTGAGTGATTGCTCAGAGCTGCATTGGCAGCGAGATATTCTCGACCGGCTCAAATCTGGTTGTGAACCAGCGGTCTCGGCGAGAAAAGTTCGGTGCAGCATATAGACGACTTCTGCAAGAGACCGCGGCGCCGTTGATGCCTATTTTCCCGGAGCTCTGCATCAGTGCTCCGTGGGTGTTGCCTCCACACCAGCTCGTAACGGGTGCTCATCCCCGGGGGATTGTTTCTCGAACGAACCCACAATACCAATACACTGCTTGTCCCTTGGCTACTAAGATAGTATTATACTTGATTATTGAATTTCCCGTCGGATCCGGGGAGGATCGAGCATCGCCCCGAACCTCCGTTAAAAAGGTCGGTACGGAAACAGGCGGTCCCCAGAATCTCGGTGGGAGATTGCCTGTCCAATTTTTCCAAGGCATTACAAATCCAAGACGGGACTTCAATTTTCGACCGGCTTCGAGCTTCTCACTCGGATTTCCCCCTCATTTCGCATCATCGAACACGTCCCTCGCATGAGTCGGGAATATTGAATGCATTTCGATCACATCCCGACTTCCGAAAGATTCCGGGAACGAATCGAAGACGGCGCTCTTTATTTGATTGATGTATGAGTGTCGAAGTCGAGCTTGAGTCTCCTCAAGCGGATTTCAATTCTATATCATCCCGCGTCGGATGTTCCAGTCGGTCGGAGCATGAATTCGGGAAAATTGGGATGCCAAACTTCCTTATTCTACGGTCGATCGTGGTCCGCCCCTGGGGATGGCTACATTTTCCTCAGCTGCAGACTGCAGAAGCAAGGTAAGTCTACATTATCACAATAAGGATCGTCTCTAACGACTTAGGTATATGATTCCTCGCGGGGTGTTGTTTGAGCGGGATCATTTTCTCAACACAGCGATCGGGGTGGTTAGCGATTCATCTCGACATTCTTTTTCACGCGATTCATGACGGAGAACGCGATTAAATGGGGCTGCATCCATCGAGGACGCTGTGGACGGGGTCTCCACGAATGAATTCTATCGAGGATCTCAGATGCACGCAAATACGCGTCTGCCTCCGAGTCCGTCGGAGCTAAGGAATCCGATGGCTCAATCGCCCACTGGAGAGATTGCCGCAGGATCCAATCCATCGCTCCGACCGCAATCAGAAGCGCAACGAGAAGGTTATCCATGGGGTTCCTTTCCTATCGTTTCGAGCCCTCGCGGTCGATCTCGTGAGATGGTTGGTCAAGGTCCAAACGACTGGTCAGACGACCTTGATGAATTTCTCCCACAACCCTGTGAATTCGCGCATCTGAGGCACACCGCGTCGTATGACAAATAGCAGGCGGCTGCGCGAATATATTTTCCCCTCACAAAGATCATGACTTGAAATATGAACAGGGGCCTGATATTGATCCCAGAAAAGGGGATTCCGATTGCGGCTGAAAAGAGTTTGGGGAAAGCTCAAGCCACGGGTGGAGCCGTCCTTACAAGATAAATACTGGTTGCTTGGAGCTTTCGGCGAACGAGTTTCCTAATAATCGCACCCTTGTGGAGTCAGAAATTTTTAATTGCGCACTCTGTGCGTCCCTGCGGCGCACAGCCCCAGAAGTCTTCGGAAGAAAAATAGAGACCACGAAATGCGCATAATAGCGCGAGCCTCCTCCGATGCAATTTCTCCACTCCACGACATTATTCATGTTCCAAGAATATACTTTTCTTCATTGCAGACAGGCCAGGGCGACCCTGCATCCCAGCAAGTGGAGTGAGGTCCTGCAAGACGCTCCGCCTCAGTCGCGGGACTTGTCCCCAAGATGAAAACGTTATTGTTCCGATCGTGGAGGTTGAACCCTCTTTTCGGTGAAACTCTGTTTTCGCACAGAATATCCCGGGAGGACCTCTGAGGGTTTGTTCTCGCGAAGAGAAATGCCTGCTTTCGTCTGAGCGATTCGAGGACTCATCTGGACTCCTTACTCGCCACTCAATCCGCAGCGCCTTCTCGACAGATCACAAAATAAGGATATCGTGATATCATTTTGTCCTCCTCCGATTTTTTATCTCCTTCCATCGGACAGCTTTGAGATGAGTTCGGATTACGGCCGTCTTGCTCCGACTCCATGAATTACGAAAAATGGGTTGCTTGCATTTTCTGTCTATCGTGATCAAGCGCAACGAACGCAAATCGCTTCCGAGCTGTTGAGTAGTCCGGGAGAACTATGTCGTTCCCAAGAATTTTTCGAACGAATTGCAAAAAACGCAAACGAAATTAGCGAAATTGCCGTATAAATCGCGTTTGAAGCATACAATTGGCGGATGCTTGATATTTTCAAATGAATGCGCGCGATCTGAGCACTGGGCTCCACGTCCGCGGCGAAAGTAGGCCAGCTCACGGACGCATCAGTCTAAAAATGCATATTCTCGGGAGAGGACTGTCGATGAATCTTCGGACCTCTTGGCAAGGATGCAACTTAATGAAATTTCAGTTAAAAGTTCAATGCTAAAAGTCATCTCGGTGACCGAGTTCGCCGAGAGTTAGGTGAGTCTCCAAAGTGGCGCTCCTCGCGGGTCACGTGATCGGCGAGGCGGCCAATCAGAGTCGCTGTCAACCAGCAAGGCCGCCATCTTCGAGCGAATGCCTCTGGTCTATGTTAGTGCTACGAACTGCGGCTTCAAATCAACGTTAGGAGGGCAAGTTTTTCTCATAAATAACATGCAATCACGCCACTGGAAGTCGGCATCGGAACTTGAGGATCGTTCGAACGGCGATCTGTGCGGTATTTGATAGTTATCTGCGATATATGTGCGAGACGTTCGCTTTTGTTGTGCTTGTGCTATGGCGGCCATTGAGCTTAAGACTGCCGCTGAGAGGCTACTCGAACGACCGGTGTGTTGCGAAGGTCCTAAGAGCAGTTTCAGGCACAGAAAGCGGCTTGGCTCCCTCCAGTTTTGTCGGACGTGAACGTCCGGATCGAGTTCAGTGCGCTTTTCTGCGTCCGTGGATGTTTGAGTGATCAAATTGTGTTTGGCCGAGTCTGCTCTTGATGCTACCACTGGTGCTGCTGCACTTTGCTGCTGCTGCTACTGCTCGCTGCGGCTAATGGTGCTTGCTGCTGGTGCTAGTGATGGTGGTGTTGGCGGTGTTGGCCGCGGAGCTAGAACCGCACTCTTGGTTTGGCCCAGAGGATTTGCCATCACAAGGCTAGCATTCTAAAATTGGTGTTTCGCATGCTGGTGTTTGCTTGTTGTCCGACAGAGCCAACTCTGTGACAAGTCTCCTCAATGTCTCCGCTGCAAATCGACCAGCTGTCCCGGCAGCAAACCGTGGAACCTGACGTGCCAATTCGAACTGGAGCTCGGTCCAAGTGCTTGTCGATGGAGTTCGCGGCTATGTGTCGAATGCTGGATCTCATGTGTGAATCGCAACAAGAGAAAAGAGAGACAGTCGAGAGCAGGCTGGCTGACTGAGGAACAAGCAGCAGGCAGCGGGAACATCAACAAGCCGATGATGATCATCACCACCCACATGTATCGAGCCCCGCTTTAAGATTTGCAAAGAGAGATCCGAACGCAGCGTTGCAACGTGAGACATTGGAACGTCCCGAGAAGTTTCGGTGGCGTTCATACGGTCCGCGATCTCGCGAAGACCGAATCGAGCTCGGGCAGCGTCAGTCTTCAGCATGCGAGAGCAGCGGGCGCATCTCGCGATCCGCTGAATCAGCTCCGATTTCGATGAGCTCCGCTTTTGATGAGCTCTCGTGTGCGTCCGTGACCGTGTAGTTTGTGAGGTAGATGCAATCCCGGCGCGAGCGTAGAGCCTGAACATCAGCAGCTCTGGTGACATGCAACGCCTCAATCGAATTCACATGAAGTGCCTCACGGAGAAATCCAAACTTAACTAATTGCGGACTCGTTCCTCTTACAGATGTGAGAAGGCGTCCTGGAATCCACTTGTGAAGCTGAAGTGCGCGTAGTGGTCATTCATTATAAGATTGTGGTGTGAAAGACTTTTAGACGAGGATATACGTCCGCTCAGAGCAGGAGCACAATTTGTGGAAGAAAATATTGATTTCTTCGAGTTGACTACGGGCAGACAGAACAATAGACCCACCTGTCCGTTTGACTCCGTGCTCTTCGAGAGACAAACGAATATCGGGGAATTCGGAAAAGACACTGCAGGTTGCATCGGCCGCGAGTTCTCCCGCGATTCTTTGTGATACAATGCAGGATGACCACTGCTTGCAATCTGGAGTCTCATTCGAGTCTGAAGATCTGAAGTTCCCCTGCGAAGAGCTCGAAGGAGCGAGGTTCGCTTGTCGGCGGACCTTGGCGGAGTAGACTTTCCGTTGAGTGCGAAGTGAAGACAAGACCGAGAGTCGAGGTTGCCGAGCTTGGCCAGCGCAGCCTCAGTGCACTCCAAGACACAATGGCCGATCACATGGTGGACTCTGGCCCTCCGGCCAAGAGGGCAAAAGTCACCGACTCCTCGATGGGAGGTAAGTACTGACGCCAAACTCGACCGAATTTCGCTGCTGACAGCCAACACTGACCGTGAGGAGCCCGTTTTCTGGAGCTGCTCGCTACCATCGATCGCCTCCGATCGAGGTCGGCACCTTGCAATGGAGACGTCGAGTCGCTCATTGAGCTCCATCTGGCTTTACAGATTTCAGTCAGCTCCTCGATCTTGAGGCTGAACTCCCGGAAGAGTTGATGACTGGAGGAGGTGGTATGGGTCATCAGAATGGAACGCAGAACGGTCTTCCAGGAGCTACTCAAATGGCCAACGGAGGCGGTCCAAATGATCCGAATGGTTCCTCTGTAGGGGTGTCAACTTCCCAAAACTCACAATTGTCTCAGATGTTGAGCCAGCCACCCCAACAGTCTCAACAGCCTAACGTACTCCACCAGAATCACCAACATCTGACGCAGCTCCTACAGAACAAAACCTCTCAAAGCAATGTTGTCAACACCTCGCTCGGTAAGGCGAATAATTCCTCTCGCAGAGGTCGATCTCATTTCGGATAACATATCCCGTAGAATCGTGCTCTGTGGATGGCGTCATGTTCAGCCATGAAAATCTCTCTTAGGTCAAATGTTGGCGCAAGGAGTCAACAAAACTATCTTAGTGAGCAACAACGGACCTACGGCGAATTTGCGCGGCCCTGGACAGCCGATGAGCCGATTTGCGGGACAGCCGCCCCATTACGGGCCAGGATTGATGTCGATCGCACAGCAGACGCCTATGCAGGCTCAGCAACAACCGAGGCCGATAATGATCCAACAGCAGCAGCAGCAGCAACAACAGCAGCAGCAACAACAGCAACAACAACAGCCCAGGTATTTGTCTTCCCTGGATTGATGTCGTCCCTTCGAGATACAGTTTCCTCTCGTATACGAGTGTCTAACTCGCTTTTCCTGCAGATATCAAATAATGAACGAGATCTCTGCGAGCCATAATCAAGGAGGGCCGATCGGTGGTCACATGGTTCAAGGCAACCAAACTGGTGGACTCGGAGTCGGTGTCGGTGCTCAAGCTATCATTGGACAGGGTCCGATGTCCAGTGGACCGATTCAGCAGACGATGATCAACCAGAACCCAGGCCCTCAACAAGGGAATCCGGGGCAGCAACAGCAGCAACAGCAGCAGCAATCTACCCTGATGAATCCGGCGTTGAACCCGGGCGCAGGTAATTATCTTTCAGACGAGTTCATGCGTTGCTTCAGCCAAATTTTCGCCCGTGAAAGTACCGTTTATGAATGGAAAAAATTTTCTGCATCGGAGATCTGACGTGAGTTCCACTCGTAGGACCCGTTGGCGCTGTAGGGGGACTTGTGAGCAATGGACCGGTCGGCGGTGGCCAACCAGGACAACCAGGAGCCGATCCAGAGAAGCGGAAGTTGATTCAACAGCAACTAGTGCTTCTGCTACACGCCCACAAGTGCCAACGGAGAGAGCAAGCGAATGTCCATAACGGAAACGGAGAACAGCAGAGGCTTTGTGAAGTCCCGCACTGCCGAACCATGAAAAACGTCCTGAACCATATGTCGCTGTGTCACGAGGGCAGAGCCTGCCAGGTTTCTCACTGTTCATCGTCTCGACAAATCATATCCCATTGGAAGAACTGCACGAGGAATGATTGTTCGGTCTGTCTTCCATTGAAGCAGGCTGGAACGGGACAGCGGCAGGCGGGCGGCCAAGCTGTCGCGCAGGGCGGCGCGGGACCTTCGAACTTGTTGCAGGCTCCTCCCAATCAAAATCAGCAGGCTGCAGTTCAACAGCAGCAGCAGCAGCTGCAGACGCAATCTCACATCGGACAGCCCGGTCCTCAGCAAGGAGGTGGGAAGCCAGGAGTCCAGAGCGGTCCGAACACTGTCTCTCTTCCGATCATGGCCGGAGCTCCGAACGCTCAACAGGGTCTAGCCGGCCAGCAGCAACAGGCGCAGCAGAATGCTGGAATGGACGCCTCGCAAAGCATGGTTCAACAACAGCAACAGCAGCAGCAGCAACAACAGCAGCAGCAGCAGCAACAACAGCAACAGCAGCAGCAGCAACAACAGCAGCAGCAGCAACAACAGCAACAACAGCAGCAACAGCCGCAGCACCCTGGAGTAGTTGACTTGCAAAGAGCGTACGCTGCACTTGGACTTCCGTACAACTCCGCTCCGCCTCAAAATCAGGTAATGACTCCGATGTGGACGTTTTGGTAGATCTAGCGAGGCATGGGCTTCGAATGTCTCCTCCGACGCTCGTCGATGTGAAGCTGATCCGTTTTTTGTCGTCCTGTTCCAGGGTAACCAAGTGGGAGGCGCGATGGCTGGTAGCATAGGCGGAACTAACTCAAACCAGCAGTTGGTCGTGAACTCGAGTCAACCCGCGTTGAATCCGACGCCGCCACCGTCACAGAGTCCTTTCATGGCACCTGTATCGCCGAATAGATCAGGCAAGCCGTCTGGACCTAGGGAATGGCACCATTCGGTCACCAGAGATTTACGTCAACACCTCGTCCAAAAAATAGTCCAAGCCATATTCCCTACGCCCGATCCTTCAGCGATGCAGGATCGTCGCATGGCGAATCTTGTAGCGTACGCCAAAAAAGTCGAGGGAGACATGTTCGAGCAGGCGAACTCCAGGGAAGCCTACTATCACTTGCTAGCTGAGAAAATTTACAAGATTCAGAAAGAGTTGGAGGAAAAGCGGCAGAAGCGTAAGGAGCAGCAGCAGCAGCAACAGCAGCAGTTGATACCAGGTGGTCAGAATCAACAGCCGGCTCAGCAAGCCTCTCAGGCACAGCCGCACCAAGCTCAGCAAGCATCCCAACAACAGCAGCAGGCTCCGGCAGCCGCTGCAGGAATGAACCAACCCGGAATGAGGATGACCGGGATTCCACCGACGCAAATCGGTCCCAGACAACCACCACCGCCGAATGTGACAATTAACATGAATGGCCCACCATTCCAAGGACAAGGCATGCCCAACTCTATCGGCCAACAAAGTAACAACAATAATAGCTCGAACAATAATAACAATAATGGCCTCATGACCTCGAATCAGCAACAAATCCCTCAGCCTGGCCAGACCCAGCAGCAGCTCAATGATTTCAACCAAACGCAGGCGCAATTCGAACAGGTCAGTGCTAGCCTCGTATTGGCCTCACTCATGTCGTAGAGCATTCGAACGGCGAGGACTCGAGTCGATAGCGCGAATCACATGACTCCCTACGTCTTCTCTTGGTTTTCGTGCAGCGTGAGTCGATAAGGTGAACTAACGCTTTCGTCTCCCGATCATTAGGTTATGAAGCAGCGCCAGATTCAGCAGAACCAAGTTGGACTCGGTGGGCTTCAGCAACAGCAACAGCCCCCGCAGCAGCAACAGGCGCAGCAGCAGCAACAGCAACAACCAGGTGGCCCGATGTCTACCCCTGGTATGCAGACGCAGCAACCGGCCAACGGAAGTCAAAACGGTCAGCTCGGACCCGGCAATCAGAACATGTCATCCTTGATCCCGCAAAGAACGGCGGGACTGGGCGGTGGCCTTTTAAACCTTCAACAGCCCCCAAATCAACTCCCCGATGCTATTCTGGCAACCGAGGAGCCGGCCGATCTCGAAACGAAGCCCGTGGTCGATTCGAATGTTCTGGCGAATCAACTCTCAACGGGACTCAAACAGGCAAGTTCGGTCTCTGGAGGTGGCGTTGTCGTTGTTGTCGGTGGTGGTACGCTAGCTCCTGCGTCAGGTCCTCCGCTTCCCGATAGCGCATCGGATAGACAGTTCGGCACTTCGGCTGGGTCCGTTCCCAGCCAGTTTAGCTCGGAGGCTTCGTCTAGCTCCCTAGTATCATCGGTTAGTAGCTGCTTCGGAAGCTTAGAGTGACTCGATTCGTCCATCGCACGATTTTCTCTTTTTTTTCCGCTCGAATTCTTCCGTTTCGCATGAGCCATGGAGCGAAGAGTTTTTTTTTTATCGTAGACCGACTCCGAGAGCACCGAAGTTCTAATTTTGTTGCTCGATCTCTGCTCACGTGCTGATGCGGACCTGATCGATTGTGAACGTTTTTCTCATAATGAGCTCTGAGAAGGAAAGAGCGGGAGCCAAGTGGAAATCGAAGCGGGGCTCGTCGTGAGCTGGTGAAAGACAAGGCTTGCTGGGTGGGGGACCATGTTCCTTGTTTCCCTGTCGCTGCTCCTTGCATTAATTCGATTTATGCCCTAATTTACTGTCGTTGCTGCCGTCCGCGCGGCTCTCTTCCTCGCCGCGTCGGAGAATCCCACCGCGAAGACTGTGCTCGTGTCGATTATACTCGGAGGAATTGGTTCGCCGACCCGATGCTAATCGGAAATTCTCCTTCCCCCATGCAGGAAACTCAACAGAACCAGAATAATATGAACAGTAGTCTCGGCGGAAGCATCATGTCAGTTGGACCCCCGCCGTCGATATCGGCGCCTGACAGCGTCGCCAGCATAAAGCAGGAACCGCCGAGCTCTGTGCCGGACCACAACCCGGCGTCAGTTGGAGGAAAAATGACCTCAGCCCTCAAACAGGAGGCTCTCGATTTCGACACGCGGCCTTCCTCTGTCAAACAGGAGGCCCCGAGCAGTGTCCAACCGTTGGAGAACCGAGAGAACGGTGATGTGAAAGTTGAAGCGAAGGACGAGAAGCCGTCAGTTGATGGAGCTTCGGCGTCCAAACCCCCTGTCAGCAAAGTTCCGAAGAAAACCTTCAAACCCGACGAACTCCGGCAGGCCCTCATGCCCTCTTTAGAGAAGCTCTTCAGATACGATCCTGAGAGTCTTCCATTCCGTCAGCCCGTAGATCCAGAAGCTTTTCAAATACCCGACTACTTCGACATCGTCAAGAAACCCATGGACCTTTCGACCATCAAGAAGAAGTTAGATACCGGTCAATATAAAGATCCGTGGGAGTACTGTGACGACGTCTGGCTTATGTTCGACAACGCTTGGTTATACAATCGTAAAACATCACGAGTTTACAAGTACTGCACCAAGCTCGCGGAGGTCTTTGAAGCAGAAATCGACCCCGTCATGGTCAGCCTAGGCTTCTGCTGCGGCAGGAAGTACGTTTACCAACCGCAAACTCTCTGCTGTTTCGGAAAGCAACTCTGCGCGATTTCCAAGGATGCGAAATACTTCAGTTACCAGAATCGATACATGTATTGTGTCAAGTGTTTCGAGGTAAGCAACGATTAGGTCGGCAACATGATCCATAAACGCTCCGTCGCCGATGAATGGAACGTCTCTAGAAGACATGCTCGACATTGCAGGATATCCCCGGTGATACAGTGACGATATCTGATGATCCCAGCGGTGCGAATCCCTCATGGCCCAGTCAAACGATCCCAAAGAACCAATTTGTTGAAATGAAAAACGACCATCTGGAAAATGAGCCATTCGTTGACTGTACAGATTGTGGACGAAAACTTCATCAAGTTTGTGTTCTCCACTTCGAAGCAATATGGCCCGAGGGATTCACCTGCGAGGGTTGCATGAAGGCGAAAGGTGAGTCTTCTGCGCCTAAGCGCTGCCGAATACCAATCGAATGATGATGATAATAATTAGTGTTATTATTATTTCATCGAAATTTTCGAGAGTTGAGCCTAATTGTGTTTTTCTCGTTCTCTCGTAGGGATGAAGCGGCGAGAGAACAAGTTCTGCGCCAAACGTCTGCCGACATGCAAGCTATCAAATTTTTTGGAAACCAGAGTTAACAACTATTTAAAAAAGAAAAACTCGGGTGCAGGAGAAGTGTACATACGCGTCGTGTCCGTCTCGGACAAGGTGGTGGAAGTTAAGCCTGGCATGAAATCACGTTTCGTTGATACTGGTACCTGGCCAGAGCAATTTCCATATCGTGCCAAGTGCATGTTCGCTTTCGAAGATATCGACGGAGCGGATACATGTTTCTTCGGCATGCATGTGCAGGAGTACGGAAGCGACGCACGACCTCCGAACACCCGCCGAGTTTATATCGCATATCTTGACTCGGTGCACTTTTTCAAGCCTAAACAGTACCGAACCGCAGTGTACCACGAGATCTTGCTGGGTTATCTCGACTACGCTAAACAATTGGGATACGTCATGGCGCATATCTGGGCCTGTCCCCCTAGTGAGGGAGACGACTACATCTTTCATTGCCATCCGGCTGAGCAGAAGATACCAAAACCGAAGCGGTTGCAAGACTGGTATAAAAAGATGCTCGATAAAGCCATCATGGAGCGGATCGTTATCGAATACAAAGACATCCACAAACAAGCGCTTGAAGACAATCTCAAGTCTGCTAGCGAGCTCCCTTACTTCGAAGGTGATTTCTGGCCGAACGTTCTAGAAGATTCGATCAAGGAGCTTGATCAAGAGGAAGAAGAGCGACGCAAGCAGGAGGCTTTAGCTGCTGATGTTTCTTGTGAGACCGAGGAAGCCGACGGTCCCGACGACCCAGCTAATCCCGGTAAAAAGAAAGCGCAGAAAAATCGGAAGAGTAAAAACCAGCAGCGGAAAAACAACAAGAAGAGCAATTCCGCCCATGGTGGGAACGATCTGACCGGCAAAGTGTTCGCTACCATGGACAAACACAAGGAGAATTTCTTTACAATTCGACTTCATCCGGTTCAAGTGGCCGCAAGTCTGCCGCCGATAAATGATCCGGATTCTATGATGACATGCGAACTCATGGACGGCAGAGACGCGTTCTTGACAATGGCCCGGGAGAAGCACTACGAGTTTTCATCGTACCGGCGTTGCCGCTATAGTTCGATGGCCATGCTGTATGAATTGCACAATCAAAACAAAGATGCATTTGTGTACACTTGCAACAGCTGCAAGGCAAACGTCGAAACGAGGTTCCACTGCACAGTTTGCGACGATTTCGATCTCTGCGTACCCTGTCACAACAAGGAAGGTCATCCTCACAAAATGGAACGTCTCGGTCTCGACCTCGATGTCGGTGGAGGTGGAGGAGATTCCATTGGCGCGTCCGCGGGCGGAAACCCTCAGGAGAGCCGTCGCCTTTCGATTCAACGCTGCATTCAGTCCCTGGTGCACGCGAGCCAGTGTCGCAACGCCAATTGTCATCTACCATCTTGTCATAAAATGAAACGCGTCGTAATGCATTCGAAATCATGCAAGCGCAAAACGAACAATGGTTGTCCCATCTGCAAACAACTCATTGCGCTTTGCGTATATCACGCGAAATACTGTCAAGAGGCGAAGTGTCCTGTGCCCTACTGCATTAACATCAAGCATCGCATGCGACACCAGCAAATGCAACAACGAGTTCTCCAAGCTCAAATCCTCAATCGTCGTATTGCGGCTATGCAGAACCGAGGGATGACGAGCTCATCAACAACAAATTCGAATGCATCGAAGGCCTCGACGCCTCTATCGCAACCATCTCCCGCTCCGAGTCCCAACATGGGCCAGCAGAACGTTGGCGGGAACATTGTCCAACAAGGAGGAATGTCCCAAGGGAAACCCGGTGCGGGTCCTCCGCCCGGAGTCGTCCAAGCTCTGCAGCAAGTTCAAGCATCTGTGGCCAGGTAATTATTCACCTACCTAGTTATATCGCCGGAAGGAAGTCAACAGTAGAGAACGTTGTGCAGTGGCGGGAATCCCGTTGCGATCGAAAAAGGGGAAGTTTTATCCCCTTTTCCGATATCGGACTCGGAAACAATCTTAGCTCTCCTCCGACATCCCCCTTGATCGGATAGCACGCTATCATCAGTCGAATATTCTCCATCTGAGGAATTCAACTGGTGTCCCATTCTCGCTCTCGTTCACATGCCTACGAAGTACGATAAAGAATTTGCTAAAGGGAGCCCGACGTCGACGAACATTTGGAGAACTAAAGTCTCATCACTCTTACAGGCAAACTAGCCAAGGAGGTCACATGATGCCGAATTCGTGCCAATACGGCTCCAACAGCGGGATGCCTGGAATGAACCAAGGAGGTGGAAAGCCGATGGGTGGCGTGGTTCCAAGCCAAGTCCCGGGTCCTCAAATGGCAGCTCCAAATCAACAGATCGGTCCAATGCAGCAGAGACCCATGAATCCGGCAATGATGTCTGGTCAACAGCAAAGATGGGAGCCCCCTCCTGGTTATCAACAAACCAACCAAATGGTGCAGCTGCAACAACAACAGCAGCAGCAGCAGCAACAACAACAGCAGCAATTGGGGGCGGCTCAGCCACAACAACAGCCATCACAGCAGCAACAGCAGCAACAGATGGCTCCCCAAGGAGCACAACTTGGCCAAATGGGCCATGGACCTCAACAACAAATGGGTCAACAGATGGGGCAGATAGGTCAACCGCGCGCACCGAGCGCCATGGGACCTCCACGAGCGCAAAACATGACACCGGCTCTACAACAACTGATTCACACCCTTAAAAAACCGCAGACTCCTCAACAGCATCAGCAGGTGTTAACGATTCTAAAATCAAATCCGGCCCTAATGGCGGCTTTCATCAAACGTCAACAATTACATCAACAGCAAAATCCGGCCGTGAGTAACATTTCGAATATTCACCTGGGTTCGGGAATCTTCTCACAAGATGATACCCTCCACAGCGAGGCCGGAAGATGGGGAGAGCTCCATCGGTGTTTCCTGGGGAAAAATTCTAGTGGATTGTGTCAATCAGGTGCCTTACTCTATATTATCCTTTTCCAGAATCAGCAGGGCGGTGCCGGGCCACAACAGATGGTACAGAATGTAGGGAGTGTTGGAGTAGGCGGTCCTCAGCAAGGTATGGGGAGTTCACAGGTCGGCGTTCCACCCAATCAGGGAGGTCAACCTCAGCAACAACCGCAGCAACAACAATGGGGAGGCTATCAACGAGCTCAAATGGCTCCCAGTCAGCAGATGATGCAGCAGCAGCAGCAACAACAGCAGCAGCAGCAGCAAAGGTTTGCAGGACCAGGAGCACAAGTCATGTATCAACAAAGAGTGGCAGGTCAACAGCAACGGATGTACCACCAACAAGGACAATTCCAACAAGGATACCCAGTTCAAAACCAACAACTAGGGGGATCCCCCATGGGTGCCCCCATCATAAATTCCCCACCACCGAATATGGTGACTCGGAGTCCTCAACCAAGTCCACGACCAGCACCGTCGCCGCGAGGCGCATACGTGGGAGCCATGGGCAACATGGCCGGTGGAGGCCCCGATGATGCAATGATGGGACTCGGACACATGAACCAGGGCGGCCAGGACATGGGTGGCACTATGGACGACGCCATGCAGCAACAACAGCAGCAACAGCAACAACTAATGTCTCAAGAACAACTTAATAAGTTTGTCGAAAACCTATAGGGTACCTCTTCTAAAAGTCGAGAGGATATCGGCGGCTTTCTCAGGTGGTATGAGAACTCAATTCGCCCATCTAGGTTTCGTTCTGTGAGAGATGACGTTTGAGAATCGCTTGTCGGTCGAGTCAATAGTTGTTTGGAATTGAAGGCGGTGCTCGGAATATCATCGGTGGTCCCTGACACTCATATGTACAAAAACATTTTGTGTGCATATGTAGACTTCGGTAGATAAGTCAGGCAGGAGCGTGAGAGGAAATGAGTAGTGATATAATTTTTATACAATAAATCAGACATCCACGGACGGGAGCGTGATGTATGAGATGCTGGACGCCAGTGGAAAATCAACTATCCATCGATCATTCGATCGATCGACCGACTTAACGGCCTTTCGAAGAGGTTCAGCCGAGTGAGTGATCGATGAGAGGAATGAATGAGAATTCTGTTTGTTGATAGTCTGATCAGCATTCAACGGTCAGAGCGAATGCGCGGGCCAGACGATGAGCGGGCAGCAACATGGAAGGAAGTTCGGCGTCGAACAGAGTTGCAAAGTGAGAAGAGATCGACGACAATGAACTGATCCGAGTTTCGGGGATCCCGACGAGTGCGCAATGTTGTACATACTCTAGGTAATTAGTGTACGGGAAAAACGTGTGGCCCGGGGGCTTCGCAGTATTTCATGCTTCCGAGATTGTTCTTCATTCATCACACCTTACTAGACACCAACACACATAATGTACTTAGGGGAGCCCGCGCTTCAGAGCTGTTCTGATCGTTGGAGATACCGACCGAAGCGCCGCCGCGCCACTGTCCCCTTCCCCCCAACGGAATCGCCTGCTTCGCTAGGGCCCTGCCCTCGGGCTCATGGGTGGTATGCAAAAACAGATACTATCAACGGTGGCGAGGGCGGCCCCGATAGTTGCGATGATGACGACTACGAAATCAACACGGACGATGGAACAAGCAAACTACCAACTCAGAGAACGGACAGACAGAGAGCTAGAGCCAGTTGGGAGCTCCTCTGCAAGCTAACTATCCAACATACAAGTTCGATTGAGCAGCTTGTCGCATCGAAGACGTGATCTTGTATGACGGTGTAGTCATTCCGACTCCCAACATGACCAGAAGGCACATGTAAATATATATGTCAGGAAAAATCAATTTCATTTTACAACACAGCAACGGAGGCTCGAGCAGTCACCGTTGCACCTGAGCGATGAGTAAACTACGAATGAGGTCTAAGAATGTTCAGTTCTCTACATTTTGACGTAAAATCGACAGAGTCGACGGAGAGGTTCGGGATTCGGGAGGCCTCTGTGTTACGATATCCGAGGGAAAATGGAATCATCAAACCCAAGAGAGCGCGATGGGGGAGCGGCTTACCCTTGTGAACTGCTCATCTTTCTTGTGAATTCTCCATGGCTATTAATATTATTATTATTATCGGTAACTTCACTATTATCATTCTTATAGATATCGTCGCCATAGATCATCGTGGCAAGCATGAAAGCGCGACTGATTTAACGGGGAGATAAATGTCGAACAGCATTGAGAGCGGTATCGTCTCAGACTAGCGAAAAAGGAGAAGAAACGACCAACATCAATCAATGTTAAGCTAAACCACAGCAGCAGACGCAGATCCGGCACAGCGGAGATCCTCTTTGTGGACGAGCAATCTTTTACTTTTAACATTTTTGTCCTTTAGTCAATCAAGATCAATCATTGTCGCCAGTTCGGAAATACGCTGGTGGAAGTACGCTGGCGAATCTCATGCTTACTTACATTGCTCGGCTTCATCATGTAATGAGGAGGCTCTTATCATGGCTTCTCGGACGACTGATTTGTCTGACAGATGATTTCCCCATCGAATGGATGCTTCTGTTTCCTCGAGGTTGTTCTCTCTTCACTGCCTTTGTTCGATTTAGTTTTCCATGGTTTCATTCTGGTTTTGATTTGTGATCAAACGTAGTGAAAAAGCGCTCTCAGTATTATTCACAACTGATTCGTTCATTGATTGTCCGCATTCGGAAGATGCGGATTGATTCAGAGCAATTCAGATTGGATTGAAACCTACCACCTACTACCGATCGTATGCATGCGAGCCAGGCTCTTCGATTGCTCGAGTGTTTGATTGCCTGTCTGTCTGACTGTCCCCGCTGGATTGACTCTCACAGTCAAAACAAATCCACACAGCCATTCTCATGATTGGAGTATTTGTCCCAGTGTCTGCTTGAATCGATTTTTGGAAGCGATAGAATTTCATAGAGTCAGAAATGCGAGCGTTATTCGTGTTCCGAAAAGAGAGATCATCTTCGTGTCCTGCTGCTGGAAGCCGTCCGCATCTCTTGGGATATATGGAGTAGCCTGATTGAGAAGGCCTCATTTTATATTCGTCGTTTATGAATGAAAAAGAGAGCTCGTATGAAAATAAATAAGATATTTAATTACCGTAACTAGTCTATTCATTCACAAGCTCTGCGATGATTGATATCTGTGTATGACTGATGCTGGGCTCGAACCGAACATCTGGCCAGGCAGACTACATCGGACGAAGGATAACCGAATTCTCTCGGAATCGCGATGAGTCGAGGAGACGGGGCGAGGACCATGGACCTGCCATCCGATAAGAGACGGCATCGCTCGTATTTCGGGAGGGAGGCGAAAGTATTGGTATACCTCAAGCTCACATGATCATAATCATCGAAGTGATCATGGTCTGGCAAACACCGATGTGCCGAGGAGAGGGATGCCTCTCGTCCTTCTCGCCCTGTCAGCTCTAGAATAGATGCGAAGAGTAGGTACAAGGATTCCAAGGAGGCTGGAGAGGAAAGGGACACACTTCGAGGGAGTGACTCGCTTCATGGCGAGGCGGTGTCTGTCCCTCGAAGCTTCCATGAGCGGAGCTTCGGGATGTCACTCATCACCAGATGTGGCATCGAGAGACGAAAAACATTCCGACCATCAGGGGTGCCCGGGTTGTTGACGGAATCAGTTCCGGAATGCCCGTGATGTACGATATGAGGATTTCGCGGGCCTCGTCGAGAGCTCCGCATCGCACCGCCCATCATTGTCGATTCCGAGACTCATGACAACAAATACGATCGCGAAGAATCCCGAATCCCGAGAGGAGCAAGTCCGATCTGCGCTCGTCGCCGCGCTCGAAATCGCCGTTCCCAGGAAAGAATCTCCGTGGCGTGTGGAATCGATTGCCCCAATGTCCTGAGTGATCAGTTTCGATTTTTCCCTTGTGGAGGGCGTCATCATCTCAGGCGAATTAGATTTTGGAGAAATTCATGATTTCATTCAAGACCCATTAATCGGGAACACGTCATTAGGCGGTTCTATCCTAAATCAATCGTTCTCGCTCTATTTCGAATCTAGCCCCGTCTGCAGTTTGTCGATTGAGCGAGACACTCCGTCAGTCGGATGTTCCCAGTCTTTCCTTCTACCGAGAGAGCGATTTCAGGAGTCCCGTTCTTCGGAACAGTTTCGATATCCAGCGATTCCCGTGCATTCCAACCAGGAGAGCGGAAAACCCCACTACAGGCCGATATGAAACAGAAATTCAGCTGGTTTTATAATGCTCCCTACCTCATGTCTATCACCCCGTTAATCGCGGCATGAGAACTGTGTCGACGAGAGCGCCAGAATCCAGAGGCAGACAAGGGAGAGTACGGAACAATGCAATTACGTATTGCGAGCTTCGAAACCATGTGACCTCATTTCAAATGCAGGCATTCCCTGACCATCGTCGACAAAAAGAAGGGAGGGAATTATTCCCAGTATCGGCTCGGAATGTTGATTAGCATTGTTCCTTGAAAACACAAGCTAAGCTTTCTTGTTTCGTACTCCTCCGCAATCTTCCAAGCTAGAATACCCCCTGATCACGCTCCTGAAGAGTCTTCCCGCTCGAACATTCGACATGATCTGCGTGTTCGAACTCGGGATTGAATAAATGCTCCAGATCAGAATGAATGCTTGCGGGAAGCCCTTCTGCCGGCGCTTGTTCTAATACATTCAGCGTTGGCATCCTCCGAAAATACAATTCATCCCGCTTAACACGAGGGAAAAGACGAGCCCGCGGATAAAGTTCGGATCTTAACTCCATCACCTGAATCCTGTCAGAGCATTTCAATTAATACTGTCTAAGTGTGATAGAATCGAGTTTTCTCAAACTTCAATGGGAACCCGAGTATTGGTATCACACTCCATCATATCACCGCGAATACAAGATGAGTTCGCGTTGCAGGTAGCTGCGGCCGATATATTCGAATTAATTATACAGTGGAACCTCGATCGGCGAAGGCTCCGGATGAAGAACCAAAATCCGCTCGACGAACGGGCTCGGTCTTTTCTTAAGGAACTTTTGCCTCTCACGAGGCGGAATTTGAGCCTTCGACCCGGCTTTGCAAATTCCCCAATCAGACCGATGTACTCACGCTCGGAAAGCAGCAGCGAGACGAGATTCGGGATGCCGACTCCTCGCTTAGCGATGGGCTCGGGGTAACGTATTCGGTTCGTCAATCGAGGTTTTACGAGACCTTTTTTTCGGGTATCCGAATGTTGCAGGTTTAATCAGTCGAAAATTCGGAAAACACGGGCAGTACCGCGAGGATCTTGAGCGTCCAAGAGAGAGACTCGATCCCCAACCGATATGATACCTCCCCATCCCGAATCGCGATTCCGCCGGGGGTGAACTTCGCTCGCACTCATGACTGCATCAGGATTGTCATTCGCTCAGGGTCGCGCTTGAATGCGTGTTCTAAAGCAATCCTAATGCAGCGCGCAACAGCTCCATGAAAATTATCGGGAGCGTTGGTTTTCCCTATTCTATCATCGACTGGTGTGCAGGGTCTTTCTGAAACGGGAGAGAACCGCGGCGGGCCGCTACCGTTTTTAATGTAGGAACGGCGGACTTATTCCCTTCGCGTGACACCCCAGATAAGAAAGAGCAAGAATGAACGCCGCCGATTCGGAGATTCCCAGGGAACATTCCGAAATGCTGACTGCATACGTCAGTCGCTCGCGAGATCGACTTCGCAGAGCCCTTCTAAACTGACCAAGAAGTTCAATAAATTTTGAGAATCTTCTCTGAGGCCCGGTAAACAGAGAGCCCGAAAACTCGTTCTCTACATAGTGGGTGGTCCGGCTCATCCCTGAAGACCAGAAATGACGATACAATGACTCTGTTTGACTACAGAATTGAAAGACGATGGCATTGCGTAATTAGATTTAACAGAAAGCGGGGCTGGTGACCTCGCACCTGAAGTTCCCACCGTCAGAGGGAGAAAGTCGCCTACGCCGTGGAGGAACAAATAGTACAAGAATGAAGGATGTGAACGCGTTGCACTTGAGGCGAGGGACATCGAACTTACTTTCCTGGACGCATGGTATTTCTTCTCTCTCCCTAGATAGGAGCCTAAGTTTTGTTGTTCACCCTGCTTTGTGCTCATATTCTTTACGAGTGCTTCCACGAACGAAGTCGCAGTGAACAGAAGGGGCTCTCATCGCGGGAAGTGACCATGCTATGGCTATTCGTGGTAAGCACTACGGAATCTTACTGGTCTTGTTTTTTTCTGCGCTGAGCCGCGAACACGCCTCCCCGCGATTTCCGCGTGTCCGTCTCCCGTCGACCGCGGATGTCAATCTCGAAATAATCTCTACTGGGCGCTCCTACTAGTCGATCGTTACTACAAAGGTACCTAGGCGTGCTGAATCGTAGATCATCTCTGATTCCAATCGGCGCGTCCTGGGACGATCTGGAGTCGCGCGGTTTCATCCATGCCTTATCGAATATCCGTTTCCCCCCGACGTGACTGAGCCGGATCAGTTCTCGAACCATCGAAGAGCAAAGAGTCCGATTAGCTTCAAGACAACTATTCTCAACCCGAGTCACCTTCTGTATCTACACACATGAGTGATGATAATTGATCAACACGGAATATTGGAAGAGTCTCGAGTTCAGAGAATTCCTCTTGGGGGATTTCTCGTGGAGAGAATTCTGGATCTCCGATT